ATATATATATACACACATATGTACTGAATTTATTTACTTTTTAGCAATGAAATCAGAAATAGCTAGTAATCAATAATCATAAAGAATTATATGAGCCATCACAAATAACTGAACACAAGTACTCGACTAGTCTGTAGTAGCATATTCGGTGTTAGAATAGACAGACTGTAAAACTCCAACAAACAAAGTAAGAAATCTTACTTAAATGTCAGTTTCAGGCTTTAATTGTTCATGTTTAAGGTAGAACTTGCTAAAAATTGCCAACAGACATAATCGTTAGCTTGATGCTAATATTACATAGGAACTGTCTTTGACATTGAAACATGATGGAAACACTACTTTTAAACAGTTTCTATATGAAACGTCGTTATATTCAGGGTGGGTGCGGAGGCTGATATGCTCATTATTTATGACTGTTCTACAGACATTAAGTGTTGAGTTTATTCATGAACAATAATTGTCCCTGAAGCACCTCAAAAACATTTTAAATGTCTCGGGACGATGTTGGTTGGGAGCCCTGGTCCCCCTACCACAAAAACACTGCTATAGAACGCATTAAGATAGCTGTGAAGGTCTAAAACAGACACTTTTTTGTCTTGGGGTCCAAAGATGAAAGTTTGTAGTGGGACACTGCCTCACCAGTGAACGAGCGAAAAGGTTCTGTTCACATCGGGGGTCTCTAATCTCCCGTTCTCTGTGTATCACTGCCTGTTACGCTCAATTAGTTTCTGCTAGCTGCTAGTTTCTTCTGCATTGCAGTAATGCCAGTTGTGTGGTGTCAAGGGTGATACACTGTTTTTTATATTTTATTTTAGAATATTACACTATGCTTTGTTTTTAAAAAGTACTCCAAAATAAACTTAAAAATGAAAAACAAGCAGTTGCGTGGAAATTTGTTTTCTCTCAGTGGCTAAGGGAGTTGGAAGTGGGGGTTAGGCAACTTTCTGGCGGGCTAAATGAGGCGGGCAAATGGCCCCAACTTTGGCCCACTTTGGGCAGCCCTGGTCTAGAAGATTCAGCGCAGTCTAAACAACAGGTTGTAAAGAATGCAAGGCTCTATCTTTGGACCCACTGTGTTGTGTGAAAATGGTGGTTTGTCATGTGACCTGCGTTAGGATGTCAGTATGTCAGTGTGCGTATATATATATATATACAGGTTTGAGCATTTGAATACATAATTTCATATATGTAGGAGAGGGTTTTAGCATTGGTCATCTCCAACAAGCTAACTTTACAGGACAAACATTCACTTTTAATGGAAGTAAATGGACAAATAGTTTTAGCCATAAAATGAAGTCATTTTGGACCATTTCTGTCAGAAACATTAGAGATATATACATGTATGTATGTATCACTGCTGTATAATTTGAAAGTACCGATCACCCTATACATTGTGTGTAAATTTCATGATAAATGGACCAAAAGAAACAACCCTAAATTATTTTTTTGAAAACTTTAGTGCCCAATTTCTGTTTATTTTCTGAGTTTTAGTTTTTATTTTTCCTCCAACGTGTTAAATAATCAGTAACTGTGCATTAAAATGTGCAGAATTTTGTTCTCTATAGAGGAAATGTTCACTTATTTACACTTAGAAACGATGCACACATTTAAATCCAGTGGAGAGTGCAAGCGAATGACCAGACAGGAGCTGCTTGGCTGTTGAAGCACGGCAGATAGAGCGGCTGGTTTAGATCTCTCCCTTTAAGTTCTGCTTGTAACAAGCACAAGTCAGCACTTCTCCAGGGTCAAACCAATATCAGGGTTCAGTGAAGGCTGATTAAAGAGGTTGAACTATGCAACAGTCACTATTGTATCTGTTCTATTGAAATGTCCTTGGTCCCTTTTCATTTGTTTAATTGCTGGTCTTCTAGAACGGTGAAAGAGCTACACTCACAAAGCAAGCAGTGCACTAAATCAGCAGAGTGGCATGACCCCAGATCACACACATAGACACACCCACACACACACACATTCACGCATACACACCACAGATCTTACAGACTCACTTGCTTACTCAATCACCCTAACATAAAGTAAGACGGTAACGCTCACAGAAGCACACTCACACTCTCACATGACCTGCGGGACCCTCAGTCGGCCCCAGTGTGCAGTAGAAGCAGCTAAGGGCCCATAAAAGCCCAGAATAAAGAGAGTCTGTGTGTGGGAATCTCTGACATATGGGCTATAACCCAGAGTCAAACCGAAAGCCTCATCATTCAAATGGACTTCAGGCCAGCACACTGACCGCCCAGCCTGGACCGGGTCAATCGCTGAGGGTCACGCTTACAGACACAGGCAAATGTACAGTACTGTGCAAATGGTCAAGGCACCTGACTTACAATTACAATTAAAAAGCTATTTGTCAGGTCAGTAAGTGTGTGTTTCCTCAGAAAGAACACTAAACATTCCTGTAAATATATTACAAATTATATTATACAATGATATGATACGGATGGAATATTAATATATCCATTTTATCAGCTCCACTTACTATATAGGTGCACTTTGTAGTTCTACAGTTACAGACTGTAGTCCATCTGTTTCTCTGATACTTTGTTAGCCCCCTTTTACCCTGTTCTTCAGTGGTCAGGACCCCCATGGACCCTCACAGAGCAGGTACTATTTGGGTGGTGGATCATTCTCAGCACTGCAGTAACACTGACGTGGTGGTGGTGTGTTAGTGTGTGTTGCGCTGGTACGAGTGGATCAGACACAGCAGTGCTACTGGAGTTTTTAAACACCTCAGTGTCACTGCTGGACTGAGAATAGTCCACCAACCAAAAATATCCAGCCAACAGCATCCTGTGGGCAGCGTCCTGTGACCACTGATGAAGGACTAGAGGATGACCAACACAAACTGTGCAGCAGCAGATGAGCTATCGTCTCTGACTTTACATCTACAAGGTGGACTGACAAGGTAGGAGTGTCTAATAGAGTGGGCAGTGAGTGGACACAGTGTTTAAAAACTGTCCTGACCACTGAAGAACAGGGTAAAAGAGGGCTAACAAAGTATCAGAGAAACAGATGGACTACAGTCTGTAACTGTAGAACTACAAAGTGCACCTATATAGTAAGTGGAGCTGATAAAATGGACAATGAGCGCAGAAACAAGGAGGTGGTCATAATGTTATGCCTGATCGGTGTATATTGCTGCTGTCGGAAAAAGGTTTTGATTTGGCAGCAGCAAAATGTCAGTGAGTTTATTTAACCATTTCCAAACTTCTCCTCATAGCAGATCAGAATTATTTGCAGTTATCTTCCCATACCTGTTTTGGCTAATCAATACTTCATTATGTTATATGATGTTTAAGTGCTGGTGATGGAATTTAAAAATAAATATGATGTCCGGAAGCGTCCAGGCAACAGCTGAGCCAGACTTTGTTCTTCAAACTTGCTCACAAGATATCAACTACTTTCTTGTTACTTTCTACTCTATTTATGCTTATTTACAATCATTTATAATCAAACTTTGTTCTTTGCTCTTCAGACTAGCTCAGAAAATATCAACTACTTTTTTGAAATAATAAATGAGAAATTCTTGTTACGTTTTAGTGAATTTAAGTTTATTTGTATTTGTGCTAATGACATATGGTGATTTTATAGGGTCAGGCACACTTCAAACTCGCTCACAAGATATCAACTATTTTTTTTAATAAGTAGTTCTTGTTGCTTTCTACTCTATTTATGTTTATTTGCATGTAT